TTAATCGACATGGTCACCTTAGAAAACACTAAAGCGGCATACAACAACGGCCTCGAATTATTTTTTTCAGTTGAGGTCCGAGTTCCATCTCCGTAATTCTTGGCCTCCATCGCTCGAGGAATTGACAAACTTCGTTGCTTTATTCCGTCTTAAATAAATGCCTCGCGCGTCTCAGTATATCCAGATGCAACAATAAATCACACTCCTTTAGAATTGGAGCAGCTACATACTTTTATTCTAAGAGCGTAGATGACGAAACAATTAAAATGTTAGGAGGGTGGAAGTCAGATTGTTATAGCCTATATTATATATCCCGGCAGTCAAATAGAACGACAGCTTGAAACTCTATCCTTTTTTCGTTGCAGAACATTATCAAGATATTTGTATCGGGTCATCATTAATTTCATGGGCCTTTCTTAGCTGCGATTGAATTAGGTTTCACATCTGACCTTAATTTTGACAGGCATAAAATATTGTGGCAAGGTCGAACAGGAATGCGCTGGAATGGTGTCTTTAAACTCTTAAAACATTTACTTACGTTCATTGCTCCACCAAAATTTTTGGTATTACATTGTGGAGCAAATGACCTCGGCCATATAAAGACCATTGAATAGTTGCAATAAAACCTGATTTAAAAAAAAATTCAAATGATACTTCTACTTAACTACTGCATAGTTAATGAGTATCTATACATGTTTGGCGAATTTAGCTTAACGCACATCATTTTGACTTGCGCCGCAACTCGAACATGATTGCGTGGATAATTCTGGAATGAAATACAAGGAACTTGTATATAATTTACATTGAACATTGATTGATTTATTCGAATATTGATTGGCTTAACATGAGCATACTATACATTGATCTGAATGAACTGAATACTGATTTGTTGAATATTGTTTGAACATTGATTGATTCTAATTGAATATTATTGATCGAATTCAACATTCATTGATTCAATTGAACATTAATTGATCGTATTGAACATTGATTGATGAATATTGATTGTTGTATAAGGCTGACGCAACTTCAGGAACTTTGAAGCCAAACGTCAGTTTATTCTGTAAAACTTTGTCATGTGTACAGTTAATATTGATTGATTGTTTCTTTGCTTTTATTGGAGGTGTGTCAAAACAATTGGGTCGGCACCCACTGTAGATGTGTATATTGCATAAATTGTTTTGAACCAGTCGTAGCCATTAAATGCCAAAGTTAAGAAATAAATAATTCGGGAACAATTAATTTACTGTTGTTTAATGTGGAGTCCGGATAATAATCATATTATTGTTCAAATGTTCAATTTTTTTCAAAGTTTAAATTGCAGGTTTTGATAGCAAATTGCTTCATCAAAAACACATATCTTTTCAAAGTTGCTTTCATTGGGGAAGATGACAAGTATCATTTTTAACCATATGCTTCTTTCACTAAAACGATCAATCCAATCATTAATTGAATTTATTTGAACTCATTTGCCTTCATAAATGGTGTACAAATTATTATATGATACTACAGAGGGATTTCTAAGATAAACAATAAATTGTACAGTCGTTTGTTGAACGAGTTCGAGTGAAACAACTATTTTTCGTCACAAGTGGCCTACATAGTGACGTCATTTTCAGATTGTGATGTCACAAACAAAGAAAAAAACTTTCTTCAAAATATGCTATTAATAGACCTTGTGTATGGCTATGTGTGTTACGAATTTCATAATAATCTGAATTGTGGTTAAGTAGATATAGAGATAGTTGTCGAACTTTTTGATCACCCCTCGTATATTGTCGATTATTATGCTAATACAGTTAAAAGTTGGAAATTATTTCATTTTCAGGTATTATGAAAAATACATAAAAGTCATATTTTTATGTGACGCCACAGTAAACTTTTCCCGTATAAATTAGGCCCCGTCCCCCTTTTCAAGCCCTAACAATGCTGCGTATTGAAAATCTGAGATGTACTTTTAAGGTTGAAATCTATTTAATGTCTCTGCTTATCAATGTAAATTAAATTATCAAAAATTATTTTGTTTTTATGTTCAGATCTCTCATTTTTTTTAAAATTTATCTTAATACAGCTGGAGTTGCTGAAAGATTTCTAGAATGGGATCGGGAGTTTTTCTTTTTTTAGGTCACCTGAGTAAACTCAGGTGACCTATTGCTATCCGTTTTCGTCCGTCGTCGTTCGTCGTCCGTCGTGCGTCGTGTGTCGTGTGTTAACATTTGAACATTTTCAGCTTCTTTTCTGCAACCACTGAACCAATTTCAACCAAATTTGGCACAAAGCATCTATGGGTGAAGGGGAACAAAAATTGTGAATTTCATGATCCCTGCCCCCCTGGGGCCTGAGGGGTGGGGCCAAAACCACTAAAATTAATGCAATCTTTAAAAATCTTCTTCTTTACTCCTGGACATCAAGCAGTCAAACTATTTGCATGATTGTAATCAGCATTGAGTCCTCTACCAAAATTGTGAAATTCATGGCCCTGGGGTCAGGGGTTCTATTGCTAGGGCGGGGCTAAATAAGTATATAGTGAAAATGCATTATTTCTTTGAAAATCTTCTTCTCTGCTCCTGGGTATAAAATAAACCAACTAAGTACATAGTTATGATGAGCAAGAGTGCCTCTACCAAATTTGTGAATTTTATGGCCCCAGGGTCAGGGGTTCTGGTGTTAGGGTGGGGCTCTATTGATTATATAGTAAAAATACATGATTTCTTTGAAAATCTTTTTCTCTGCCCCTGGGTATTAAATAAACCAAGTAAGTTAATAGTTATGATGAGCAAGAGTGCCTCTACCAAAATTGTGAATTGTATGGCCCCAGGGTCAAGGGTTCAGGGGTTGGGGGAGGGGCTCATTGATTATATAGTGAAATTACTTGAATTCTTTGAAAATCTTCTTCTCTGCTCCTAGGTATTAAATAAACTAACTAAGTGCATATTTATGATGAGAAAGAGTGCCTCTACGAAAATTGTGAATTTTATGGCCCCAGGGTCAAGGGTTCTGGTGTTGGGGGGGGGGGGGCTCTATTGATTATATAGTGAAATTACATGAATTCTTTGAAAATCTTCTTCTCTGCTCCTGGGTATTAAATTAACCAAGTAAGTAAATAGTTATGATGAGCAAGAGTGCCTCTACCAAAATTGTGAATTTAATTGCCCCAGGGTCAAAGGTTCTAGAGTTGGGGGGGGGGGGGGGGTGCTCTATTGATTATATAGTGAAAATACATGAATTCTTTGAAAATCTTCTTCTTTGCTCCTAGGTATTAAATAAACTAACTAAGTGCATAGTTATGATGAGCAAGAGTGCCTCTACCAAAATTGTGAATTTTATGGCCCCAGGGTCAAGGGTTCTGGTGTTGGGGGGGGGGGGCTCTATTGATTATACAGTATTGTGAAATTACATGAATTCTTTGAAAATCTTCTTCTCTGCTCCTAGGTATTAAATAAACTAACTAAGTGCATAGTTATGATGAGCAAGAGTGCCTCTACAAAAATTGTAAATTTTATGGCCCAAGGGTCAGAGGTTCTAGTGTTAGGATGGGGCTCTATTGATTATATAGTAAAAATACATGATTTTTTTTGAAAATCTTCTTCTCTGCCCCTGGGTATTAAATTAACCAAGTAAGTAAATAGTTATGATGAGCAAGAGTGCCTCTACCAAAATTGTGAATTTTATGGCCCCAGGGTCAAGGGTTCTGGTGTTGGAGGGGGGGGGGGGGGGCCCTATTGATTATATAGTGAAATTACATGAATTCTTTGAAAATCTTCTTCTCTGCTCCTAGGTATTAAATAAACTAACTAAGTTTATAGTTATGATGAGCAAGAGTGCCTCTACAAAAATTGTGAATTTTATGGCCCCAGGGTCAAGGGTTCTGGTGTTGGGGGAGGCTCTATTGATTATATAGTGAAATTACATGAATTCTTTGAAAATCTTCTTCTCTGCTCCTAGGTATTAAATAAACTAACTAAGTGCATAGTTATGATGAGCAAGAGTGCCTCTACCAAAATTGTGAATTTTATGGCCCCAGTATCAATGGTTCTGGTGGGGGGGGGGGGCTTTATTGTTTAAAAAGTGAAAATACATGAATTCTTTGAAAATCTTCTTCTCTGCTCCTAGGTATCAAATAAACAAACTAAGTAGATAGTGATGATAAGCAAGTGTTCCTCAACTAAGATTGTGAATTTTATGGCCCCAGGGTCAAGGGTTCTGGTGTGGGGGGGGGGGCGCTATTGATTATATAGTGAAAATATGTGAATTCCTTGAAAATCTTCTTCTCTGCTCCTAGGTATTATATAAACTAACTAAGTGCATAGTTATGATGAGCAAGAGTGCCTCTACAAAAATTGTGAATTTTATGGCCCCAGGGTCAGGGGTTCTGGTGTTAGGGTGGGGCTCTATTGATTATATAGTGAAAATACATTAAATCTTTGAAAATTTTCTTCTCTGTCTTTGGGTATGAAGCAGATGAACTACCTATATAGTTATGATGAGCAAGGGCCCTAATCTTGCAGAATTGTGAATTTCAAGGCCCCAGGGTCAGGGGTTGGGGGGGGGCTCTACTTATATACTGAAAATGAATTAATTGTTTGAAATCTGGTCCTTTGTATTTATAAAACATTTATTTACTTTTTGATAGGCAATTTTAAGGGTGCCTTTTAAAAATTTGTGCAACCTAGGGTCAGGGGTTTATGTCAGAGTGTTAGGGGCACTACTGATTATTGATGAATATTACTGATTAGTTGGAGTGCATTTTTGTTCCCCTACCCTGCATATGGGTATTCAGTAACCAAGCTAAGTGACTGCTAAGTTTATTGTTATGATGATCAATGGTGCTCTTTCAAAATTGTGAATGCCATATAGCATCTGGCTTAAAACATGTTATTGAATCAAATTCAATACACTGTAACTGGAAAGTTGTTGCATTATGCTCAGGTGACCTATAAGGCCCGTGGGCCTCTTGTATCACTTTCTAATCTAATGATGTTTATTATTTCATGATTCAGTGGGCGTCCCTAGAGAAGTACTAAGATGGGATCAGGAGGCCAGAGAGCGGTATGTGGAGTACGCTAATAGAGGAACACAGACAGTCCACCACGCCCGGGGGATGATTGTAGGATGTGCCTGGGCGGGCAAAACCACGCTACTTAAACGTCTTCTTGGTTGTACTGAAAAAGAGATTGAGGAAGTAAAATCTACCGAGGGATTGGAGGTGCATGAGGAAATATTTGAATTATGTGATGAAGAAAAATCTTTGAAAGGTAAAATATGATAATTCAAAATTTGCTATTCACAAAATTTACGATTTTAAAATTAAATTTAACTTTAATCATGTAATTATAAAAAGAAGGAAAACCCATTTGTGAATTGAACATTAAACATAAATTCACAATTGCCATGTTTTATAATGAATGACGGCTATTCATTAAATAGTGACACTACACGTACTCCTTTTAAATCTAACCCTTTATAGAAATAAAACCTCTTTTAAAATGTTTATTGTCTTCCATTCTTCTGATTTGAAACGCAGTCATAACCTTTTTATAAAGCGGTTTTGAAGAGAGCATCTATTTCGGACTCACCCTGTGGACAATGTTAACATGAAGACAGAAGGAAAGTCCCGAAAAGACATTTTGAACATCGGGTCGTATATCGAATATCGTTTTCAAATAAATATCGAGGGAAAAGAAAGAAATCGTGTCATTATATGGAAACTCTGTTGTGTTTATCAAAACTGTTTATTGATGGATAAAGCATTTCCAACTTGGTAGGGATTCAGTTGAAAATCTTAAACAGTCAGGTAGGCCAAGATCAATTATCAATGAGAAATCAGTTGCAAATCTGTTTGAATCATTGACCAACAGAAAAATGATACCGTTTACCGAGGAAGTAAAAACGGTATATCAACCATGAAACTGTATTATTAATACCAAAAAATTCAAAAAGATAAAGAAAAGGAAAGAGAAAAAACTAAATAAGAAAATTAAATTCTCTTTTGAGGAAAAATATTTTAGTTTATACTTTTATTAGAGTAGTTTGCTAAAAGTAAATTTTATCAAAGTAGGGGATAATCGCTGGTCTTAAATGATAATTAAAAAAAATTCAAAAAAGGGACACTACATGCCTAAGTTATCAATTTTATGACAACCTGGTAATCTTGCAGGTGAATAAAAAAATTGTTGGAAAATTTTCATGAATTCCAAAGTGGGTATACGATATATTCATCTATTAATTGCATTAACCTAAAAAGAATTTTTGAACCCGTCACTTTGGTATTCAAGAATATGTACATAATATAGAATGTTTAGCATACTGACCATAAAAATGACGTAACATAAGACACAATTTTAAGACAACTTTTGCTCATTACTCGGACGCAAGTTAACGGACGCAAATGCCAGTTGGAGGAATGTTTACATACACTTCAATCTATCATATTGTATTTTTTTTTTTTTTTTTTTTTTTTTTATTAAGTGCAAGTACAAATCAGCAATTATTTTATAACAGCATATACAGTACAATAAGGATAAATCTTATGATTGCTGATTGAGAGGAAAGAAGAGAAAAGAGAGAAAGGGAAGAGAGGCTGCTTTTAAACAAATTAGGAAAAAAAAACCTTGTCTGTATAAACATTTATTTGAAAATCAAGCAAAATAGTCAGAGCTTTCTAAGTATGAAAAGCCAAATTTCCCAATCTTTATAAAAATCTTCAAGATTACAATTTTTGGTAGCTATGTACTTCAAAGTTGAAAGATGAGTTTTGATATCTATAAGTAGTCCATGGATTGATAATTTTTCATTAAGACACCGCTTTTTGTATATGTAGGATTTGAGAATTAGGAATATCTGGTACAGATTCTTACAACTTGAGTCAAGATCTAATCCCAAAATAAAAGAGCAAGGATCTCTTGGAACAACAATATCCCTTGTTTGACAAAATTCAAAAAATAGATTGATGAGATCTTGAACAAGGGGACATTCCCACAGTATATGATAAATTGTTTCTTCAGCTGAATTACAGAAATTACACATTTTACTATCTTTCATCCCCACTTTAAACATGAATACATTAGTGGTTAAGATTTGATGGTTAATTCTGTATTGTAACCATTGTAGTTTTGTACTTTTAGTACTGATAAAAGGTAACTGAAAAATTGCTTTCCATTGTAACTTTGATAGAGTGAAATATTTTCCCCATTTTGATTTGTAAAAAGATGTGACATTTTCTTCTGTATTTAGTGTGTCGTACATATTTTTAGTACCTTTTTTGGATGAACAGAATAATCTTATGTAAAATGGTATAATTGGTCTAGGGTTATTGTTTTCTTTGGCAATATCCTCACTTTTTAAACTGGTTGTAATAGAATTTTGTATACTATAGTATGTAAGAAAATTAGTTTTAATGTTGAACTTATTCTGGAGATCTTGTAAACTCAAAAATGCTCCATTCTCATCAAGCAAATCGTTAATATATATAATATTCTTATTATACCATTCAATATAGAAAATGGACTTTTTTCCAATTTTAATTTTCTTATTAAACCATATTGGTTGAGCTATAAATTCTTGCCATGATTTTATCTTCATTTTATCTTGAATATCTCGAAAAGCAATCAATGTATCTTTCCAAAAAGGATTTCTTATAAGGTGCAAATTATCATTAATGTAATCTGATCCAGTTTTGAACATTTTGTCAAAATTGACAGTTTCATTTAATAAAGTTTTCCATTTTGAATTTTGACTAAACAGTAATCTTTTAATCCATGATGATTTCAGACCTTTGATATAGTTATTAATTTCAATCATTTTTAGGCCTCCATTTGGATAGTCTTGAGTAATTTGTTTTCTTTTAATTTTATCCACCTTAGATTTCCACAGGAAATTAAACAAAATACTGTTTAAATCTTTTATGAATTTGCTTGACGGTGTTGGTAGAGAGATAAAAAGATGGTTCATTTGCGAGATAAGTAAAGATTTTATCAGCGTAACCCTGCCAATAGGAGTGGTATGCCTTTTGTTCCACTGGGTAATAATACTTTTGATTTTTACCAGCTTTTTGTCATAATTAAGTTTGGGAATATTTGTCAGGTCAACATCAAAATGAATGCCTAATATTTTAAAGCTGGTTGTCCAATGAAAATTCATTTCATTACATAATTTTTCATTTGAGTATTTCTTGCTACCTATCCAAACTAATTGTGTTTTTGATAGATTGATTTTTAGCCCAGAGAGTGTGTTAAAATGATTCAATTCCTCAATAGTGGCTCTCAGGGATTTTTCAGACCCATCCAGTATTACTGCAGTATCATCAGCATACTGAGACATTAAATATTCTATTTCGTTAATTTCAATACCTTTTATATTTTTGTTATTTTTTATTTTGAGAGCAAGAAACTCTGCACATAGTAAAAACAAATACGAAGAAATTGGGTCACCTTGGCGACAGCCTCGGCTAGGTTTAAAAAAATCTGAGAGGTGTCCTGCTTGTGTAACAGATGATTCTATATTACTTTGAAAAGTATATATCCATGAATGAATAGATGGACCAAAATCAAAAAAGTCTAGACATTTATGTATAAATTTCCAAGACACTGTATCAAATGCTTTCTCAAAATCAATCAACAGTAAAACGCCAGGGATGTCATGTTCCTCTGTGTATTGCATTAAATCATATATTAATCTTGTATTCTCACCAATATATCTACCCGGTATAAAGCCTGTTTGATCAGAACTAATAATTGTATCAAGAACAGTTTTTATTCTTTGAGCAATACATCCAGAACCTATTTTATAAGCTACATTTAAAAGTGTTATTGGTCTCCAATTTTTCAAGAAAAATTTACTTTTACCCTCCTTTGGAATACAGGTGATAATACCTTGTTTCTGTGTTATCATATGGTATTTTATTTTAGTGATCTTCTTGTTCTGAAAGGGTTTTAGCGAGTGTCAAAATTAGTATGGTTTTATCAAATCTCGCTCAAACTTTTGCGTAAAAGAGACCTAAATGTGAGAAAAAGACGAAGTTGACAATCAAAGAAAAAACAGGCGATCGTGTTACAAAATTCGATGGCATTAATTCGTCAGGTGTTTTAACTAGATTTGTGGGATCGATGAAGGCTCAAGAGAAGTTTAGTTTAGTGTGCCCAATATTTTCACATAAAATCCAAAATGGCGGCTGCGCAGTTGTAACCCCACCGTTCCTCCAAATATTCGCAAATTTTAATGCATGAAAAATGAATAAGACTTTACATGTCTGAGTAACTTATATTCATTATTTGGATTCAAAAGTCAAAAGCAGTAGTGAGTTTTGGGGCGCCGAAGTTGAATTTATATGAAAAAAATACGCACAGAATCCAGTCGGGGACAAGATTTAGTACATTTTATTCGTAAACGGTAAGAGTCCTGTTACTCAAAATATATTTGATGAAAACTGCATTGATATACTTCAGTTTACAGTGCTGCTATCCCACAAGTTGACATGGGATGGGATCGGATAGGATTCAGGATTGAGGATTCACGATAGAAATATATAGAAGTTAATCCAATCCTATCCTATCCTGTATCCTACAGCCAATCAGATTCGAGCAAAGGTATACTCATATTTCAGAATAAATTACAAAAACAAAATACGATATAAAATGTTTACAAAAGAAATATTTATAAAATTTCAATAGAAAATAAAACATTCTTTACTCTAAACACAGATTTACATTATAAACTTCGAGTAACACGAGTAACGATCTAACCGTGAACGATCACCGGAAGAATTTGGGAATGTAAACAACGGAGAGTCCAGGCATCGAAAGACCGTATTTCTTCAGCTTGTTTGGATGATTTAACCGATTCTTACTTATGTAAAAGTGTAATAACGTTTTTCTGTTAAATATGCTCTGTTTGTTTGGATAATTCCACAGGAAACGTCAACAGTGGATTTGAATAGATGATGTGCGAGATCATGTAAGTATACTACACACTGTACACTGTACATGTTTACATTGTTATACATATTTATCCCTTTAAACTATGTTCTAATGTCTTAAACTATAAACATTTTATTCTATTTAATATAAACAGAAATTGGGTGCGGAAAAAAGAAGTAGTGTAGACCGAAGTCGGGGGGGGGGTTAATATTCACAAATACTCATATGATTCAATCAGCTATCAATGAGCTCTAAGACTAAAACAATCATGTATTATGCCTTAATCAGGTTGTTACTCTTATCATTTCCCTAATAAGGTCAGAAAATAGTTTCTTTCATTT